ATATTTCTTTATTTATTTATTCATCCATCCTTATCCAGGAAAAAAATAGCAGTATTTCTGCATCTTATAGAAAGCTACAAAAATCTAGCAAATGTAATAAAAAAGGCAAATCTGGTGAAAAAATCTGATAAAATATCTTTTACAACTGGGGCTGGGATGGGGATGAAAATCAAACAGGGATAAATGAAAGACAACTCTCCCTCAATTGGTCAGCTTTAACAGAGGCTCAGCAAGGCTTACCAATACGAACCTGAAGTTTAATGTTCTTTTTAAAGGAACCTCTTGAAAAGAAGTTTTGGAATTAAACTGAAGGATGACCTGGTAGCCAAAAGCAGGAGGTTCCCTGTACTCCAAAGAGGCATGGAAATTGTGCCACAATACAGAAAGGCACATACCTGGTGTGACACCCATCAAGCAGAAACATCTAATAAAGACAGAGGCCACAGCCTTTGGGGAAGCACAGAGAATGATTACACATGGATTCTACAAAGCCTCTATTTACCACCATATTCAGGATTTTCATCTGGGGAAAGAAACTCATTGTAGTTGCCTGAATTACACAATGGGCACATGCATGTTGACAGGAAACCATCAGCTCAGTGGCCACAGAACTGCTCCACTGAGAGAAATCAAAATGCAAGGGAGCAAGCTAGCTCGGGGTACCATTTGGATCAGAAGTGGAGACTTAGTAAACCAGAGGCAAAACACAGCCTAAAACTGTGCTACGTGTCAGCAGCCACATGGTACAGAATGATCAGACAATATTCTCAAAGATACACAAACATCCTACTAAGCAAGGAAGAGTCCTTCACTTCGGGCTGAGACATACAAGAGTTATTCATTTATTTCCAAAGCCACACAGAACTTTGAAACACTCTTTAGCATGAAGCAAGTTGTGCAATTCAGGCCCATTAACCCAAACCCCAGCGTATTTTGGCAAGATTCTTCATTCCCGACTCCTCAGAAAATGAGGAGACAGCAGACAAAAAAAATATAAAATGACTTAAGTGCTTCTGATGGGGCAATGCCTTAAAATCACTTCATTACCTCCTGAGAGGGGAACTCTCATCCCCCCCTGCTTCAGGAGTATTTCACATCGACACAAACTCAAGGGTTTCTTTCCAGCCTTTACCAGTTCAAGTCGATTTTCCAAACAGGCTTAATCAAGCAAATCTCTTCTAAACATGGTATTTTTTGCCCACACACATTGTGGACTCCCCATCCCTGGAAGTGTTCAAGACCAGGTTGGATGAGGCTCTGAGTAACCTGGTCTAGAGGAAGGTGTCCCTGCTCATGGCAGGGAGTTGGACCAAGAAAGTCTTCAAGGTCCCTTCCAACCCAAACCATTCTGTGATTCTATGGTATCTCCTTCCATCACCATGACAGGAAGACTTGGGAATAAAAGAGTTCACATCCACAGAACTGCAGAGTGTAAAGTCCTTCTATTGAGCCTGTTAAAACATCTACTCCATTGCTGTAGGAATAAAATAACCTACCAAGCTGAGCAGCTTCATTCCACTGTGGAACATGTGTGCACAAGTTGTATTCCAGCCCCCTTGCCACAGCAGGGGCACACACACAGGAACACCTAAGAACACCAGTTGGGCTTTCTAGACTGTTTTAAGGTCCTACATACCCTCCACAAAGCCACATTAGGCTGACTTACCTCTCAGGCTAACACTCTGCACTTCGCTCTGTTCAGCCCAGACAATCTGAGTTACCTCACAGATTCTGCTTTCACAGTCAGTTTTCCCAAACTCACTGCTCTGCAGCTCCTCTCTACCCTCTTCCCCTTTCAGAATTAGTCTGTAAACATTTCCAGAGACAACAGTCTCACTCCTGCCTATTCCCCTGCATCCTGTCAAAGCTAAAACAGCTCTGCAATTCCTCACTTGCCTCCATCACTTGAAAAAAAAAAAACCCAAACCACTAACTCATTCACTGTAACAGGTGTTTCCCATTAAGAAAATCAATATTTTGTAAAACATTTCTACTGAATAATAGTTTATAAGCCAAACAGACCAAGCAAAGGGGAGCTGATGCTTTCCTTTTCACTCAAACCTGGATGCCAGTACAGGAATACCAAAAATTCTTTCCTTTTTGTAAAAGTTGTGCTTTTTCAGATTACTGGAAGAAACAAGATTTGCCAGGTCAGTTTTTTACTACTAATCTTCATCCTCCATTAAACACCCACCATGGCAAACACATGGCAGGTTTAGTGGGAGAGACCACAGACAGGAGAGGTCTTTGGGGAACTGTTTTTCAAAACTGATACTCAGTAGAGCAGCCATGAGAATTTTTATACTCTGTGCAGTTAGTTTCAAGGGAATTAAATCCTCCCTTCCATAAGCAGCTGAGCAATTCACCAACTTGCTTCCTAAGGAATCCCTGCTGTAGGATAAAACTATAGCACACAACTGAGAAGAAAGAAGAAAGTCAAACAAGCTATAATGCTGAAGTATACAGCAGCACATTCCCCAGCTAGCCTACTGCCTCAGGTGGTCACATTCACAGGCAAGCAAGTGGTATGCATTTGTCAAGCCCTAAGTAGTACTTTATTTTCTGCCTACTTCCCACTTTCTAGAAGAAGCAAACTACTTTTCCCTGTAATAAAGCAGGTAATACTTCAAGGGATCAGGCAACGGCAGGCTCAAGACCTTTTCTCTCAAAAAGTTTACAGGAGGATCAGGCTTTAGTTCCGAGGGTTTAGTTTCCTCCTCTTCATGCCTCTCCTCCTCCATCTCCTCACTGTTGTTGTTGTCATCGGAGGGGTTGGAGATCCGACTGGCGAAGACCTCCTTGTCCAAGAAAACGATGGTTTCCATGCGCCGGCGCCGCACACGTCTCCGTTTGAACCTCGGCGGGTTCTTCAGCCCGTTCCCACTTTTGCTCATGGTTTCTTGGTGGATGATTTTTTTGATGGTGCCTCGGATGGCGATGCGCGCGAGGTCCTGCAGGCTGCGCACAGCCACGGGCGCTGGAACACACACAAACCGTCAGCAGATATGGACAAACTCCCCCAAAAGTCCTCACAGGAAAAGTTGTGTTTGCTCAGATTAAATGAGGCCGTTGGAAATCCCTGCTGTGGTTACACAAACAGCTCATTCAGCTCCTGTCAGCTCAGATAATCTGTATTGCAACTTTCCACATGCAATTTAATTATGCATTTTTCTCTCATTAAGAAGTTTCCTATTTTGATGTCAAGCTCTCAATTATTTTAAGATACACATCTTAAAGACTGTATGAATGCAGACTTAGTGACTGGAGCTGTGACTGTTTAGTAACTTAGAAGCTATTTTCCTGCTCTAGATAACTAGACCTGAAGTCTGTTTAACTCTTCCATAAAATGATGTTTCTATTGTGCAGCTACCTCAGCTTTGCCAAATTCTGCACTTATGAAACACGAGTACTATTTATGCTCTTTAAACACTGTTTTCAGACTTACTGGGTGAAGACAGGCTGGAAAGTATTTTGTAGAAGTAATTATAGAAGCATACAATAAGTTACTGTATTAAAATACCTCCCACATTAATGGTTTGGAAGACTGTGCTGTCTTCTGCACTTGCTGCCAGCCCATAACTGCATGAAATAACATTGCAGCATAAAGAAAAATATGCATTTCCAAACACACATCCATGAACTAAAATGAACTAAAACTGAAACAAAAAGTCCCTATTTTCTGCCAACAAGTAAAGCTTTGGTGTGACCTGAATGAAGGAAGCAGAAAAACGTTACGTGTAATAGATGTGCACAAAGTGAGACCTGCAAACAAAACATGCTGAAACATACACTCATTGGACTTTCTAGCGTGGCAAGGACAGTTTCCTGAGTTGCCTTCTGTCATGCAGACACCTTTCCAGAATAAGACCAAAGCCTGACTAATCTCTTTATGGAAGTATCTCTGTATTCATGGGTTCTTAAGAGGCCTCTTGACATTGAAGTCTTAATCTAAAGATTGAGGCCACTGATACGACCTGCATTTCAAACAGCTCACCAAGAATTGCACAACCTCTACCCCTCAAGCATTCGAGGTTCAGGATAAGTCTGAACTGGGTGAGAGGCTTTGGGTAGATAGAACATTTGTTCAATGGTTTGTGTATTTTCCATCATCATGGCACAGTGCCTGAGATCCACAACAGGACATGGGTTTAGGATTCAAACAGGTGCAAAAACCATCTGTGCAATGACCAAACATCTCTCAAAGTTCGAGTACAACTTCAAAAATCATTTAGATTTAGAATGATGGTCTAGAGGAAGGTGTCCCTGTACATGGCAGGGGGTTGGAACTAGGTGATCTTTAAGGTCCCTTTCAACCCAAACCATTCTGTAATTCTGATTTAGAAGCTATTTTATGCAACTCTGATCCTTGCACAAGACAGACAACTGTTCAAAGAAGGAAGCACTTGGAGTAATTTTCCTTGAAAGGATTCCCAGGGATGTTACAGCTAAGGAAACAAGGTGCAGCTCACAGCCAAACAGCAGAAGAAACCTCCCCCATGCTCCAGAACATCTGTACTCACGCAGGTGAACAAGCCTTGATTTGCCCGAATCTGCATGGTTAGGCTGAATCAAAGGAGCAAAAGAAACAGCAAGAATCTTCTTTGTCTCCCAAGCAGAAGGACCAGTACGAGTTATCTTAGTCAACTAAACCAAAACAAGGAGATTATTGTTCATTGTGTGAACCACAGTGAGATTTTTTGAACAACAACAACAAAAAATGAACAAATGACTTTTCTGCCTGGACAAGTGGTTAAAGTACTAAAAGCTGCAACAGTAAAAGGTGATAAGGAGAAACACTGGTGTTTTTTTGAAAAAAATTGAGAACTCCTTATAGGATTAGCCCTGCGTAACTTCACAGAAACACTGGTGTTTTTTTGAAAAAAAATTGAGAACTCCTTATAAGATTAGCCCTGAGTAACTTCATCTGTTGCAACACTGGCAGTTTGGGTCACTGTTTTCACAGATCTTCCTCATTCTGGGTCAGAATAGCTGTGTCTGACCTCTGAGAAAACTCATCAGTCACTGATGAACACTCATTCCTGAAGAACTCTGCAGATCACTTATATTTGTTCCTTCCTGAAGAACTCTGCAGATCACTTATACCTGTTCCAGCTCAAATCTTACACTAACTCATGGCATAGCCTCTTACTAGGAAGAAACCCTGCACTCTGCTCAAGTATCCTGACAGAGGTAGGTTAGCCACCTATACCTTAGCCATGCAAGTTATTTTTACACCCAAGAGATAAACTGAATTGCTCTCTTGAGCTCACACCTGGGACAGTTACCCACTTAGCCATGCAAGTTATTTTTACACCCAGGAGATAAACTGAATTGCTCTCTTGATCTCACACCTGGGACAGTTACCCATTTTTTACTACAAAGAATCCACTGACACTTGTAAATGGAGACATTTCACACACTTCCACCAGGCAGTTAGGGTGCAAAATGTAGTATTTTGTCATTAAGCACAACACTAGATTATACAACTGAACAAAGAATTGCTTATGTTTTCAGCAGCATGAAAGCAAAATTACAATTAACAACAGATTGGAATATGTGAAAGCCTGGAAGAACTATGAATTTCCAATCCATTCTGAACGTGCAGAGTTCAGTTTTCACTTAGTGAACACTGGTGCACTTAATGCTTTCTTCAACCTGCTACAAGGTTGGAAACAGGAACAGCTACTGACTAAGCTGAGATCAGAATTAATAACTGAAAGGAAAATATGAATAGAAAGGTACTCAACCTTCTCTTCTAGAGGCATGACAAGAATTCCCCCAACTTTCAACAGGTTCTTCATGTAGTCCTCATGTTCCTTCTGTACTCCAGCTCCACAGTACACTCGGTCATACTGAGTGCAGTCTGGGGAAATCTCTAAGCAATTGCCAGTAACAAAGGATGGCTCACAAAATTCAAATCTGGAAGAGAAGAAGACTTGTATCAGGCAAGAATATCACAATTTAGAAAATTAATTATTTTCACAGATCTGGAAAAACTAAACTATGAAAAACATTTGAAAACCCCCCAGTTTTAGATGATTTCTACTCCAAAGTCTATATATTCAGGGCATTATCAGAACAGACCACAGCCAAGTCTCAAAACCATAGCACAATGAGGTTATAATTCATGGGTTAAAACGTCCAAAGGATAAGGAGCATAATTTCCTACCTGAGTTGCCTGCAACTCTTCAGAACAAGCTATTTTTTAGCCACCTGATGCTGACTCAGTTATAATATGCAAATATAAATATTAGATCTGTGATTCCAAAAATCTAAGTCTTTTAAGGACAGCACCTGGGTTTATTTTGGCACTTTCAAAAGCTTTTAGCTTTTTCAGATGTTGTGGGGAACTATCACCTGATGCTACAGAAACATGTTTTGCTGAAGCCAATGGAAGTTTTGTCATTAGCTTCAAAAGAACTGCAATTTCACCCTTCATAAAAAAGACTTTTTGCCTACAGCATTCCTGACTTAGTTTCAAAGAAAAAATGAAGGATTTTATGATGCTTCTGGTTTTCTTACATGCTCTAAAACTACATCAATTTTAAGCCCTACATTTAAGGGTTGATTTCTTCTCCTGGTATCTTGAGTAGCAGCTCAGTATAGCACCTATTTATTCCTAAACACTGCCTGAAGCTTTCTGGTTCTGCACAGTGCTGGACATTCAGAGCAGGCAGTGAACAGTTCCTGCACATGGTGTTCTAACAGCACAACCCAGCAGACATCTCTCTCAGCAATGCCAATTTTCCAGTCATGATGATTTCTGAATTCAGTTCCCTTTTGCTCCATAGTTATATTTGTCTGGAGAGAGAAAAAAAGTCTTCCTTAAAACATCTACTCAAACAATAGCAATGTGACTCTGAAAAACACCCACTCGTCTATGTGAGGGCACCATCCACGCCAGAAACTTTGGGTCTGCTGCCAACACCCAGAAAACACAGCCCTCTCCTCAGTAGATTTCCAGTACAGCAGAGCAGCACAAGGCTGAGTAGTCTAAAATCCAGCATGCAATGACTTTAATTTTCTTCCTCCCAGGAGGAGAGGGTATCAGGTATCCACAGATGCTTTACTTCCCCATTTGAACAAACTGTGAAATGGATCCAAAAACATGACAGCTCCAACTTTTATTGCTGAGGTTACTATTGGCAGTGGTTATCTTGCTGCAAAGTTATTACTTGTGACAGCAGCAAAATGGAGTTTCTAAGGAAGAACATAAATCAAATCCTAAGCACTTTTAGTACCAACTTAATCATCATAAAACTACTTTCGTATTTTAAAACACCATTTTTCTTCTTCTCAGATAAAACACATTAGTCAAGCACAGAAATCAGTTCATATTCTTCTGATCACTGTGCAGATTCTCAGATCACAAACACAACTAGTCCTGTCCTCTGCAAGTTTCAGGCTGTTCCTGCAAGTGCATTTTAAAATAAACAACCTTCCACAGCTCCCTCTAGGCCCTGCAACATCAGCACTGCTATTAAAAACCCAGCAAACACTTCTGAAACTCCCCCACAATACACATGGGCTTCGAAGGTCACACACTGCAGCTCAGCAAGCCTAAGGAGCCCGAATCCTCAGATTACCCTGAATCCAGAGGGGCCACATGAGAGCAGGAACTGCCACAACTAAAGCCAAATGCACAAAATTAATCCAAACAGGCATTTTGCATTCTTACTTGTCAAAGCTGTCGCTTGTTTTAATGAAGAAGTCCAATTTCTGCTTCGCGTATTCGATCACGTCGGAATGAAGTTCCACACCGTGGTTAACACCAAAAGGACCTGCAAAGGAGGAACATCAGGATAATGGAACAGGCAGCAACACAAAATCCAGCAGGATTAATACAGTTTGGGTTATTTCCTACAGCAGATTGCTCCAAGAGCGTCAGTGTCTGTGTAGGGTCAGCTCTCTTTGTGCTACAATGGGAACTGCAACCCTGTCCCTGCAGTTCTGGCATGACTGATTTTGAGTCACTTGTTCTTAACTATGCAGGAAACCTCTCTGCAGGAGAGAAACACTGATGCCATTGCTGTAAAACTGACCACCTGGAAAAAATTCCAAGGCCTGCATGTTTTAATACATCCCTAAAACAACTTTATGTTATTTTAATACCTCCTTGCTGAGATGCTAAAAATCTCTGTGAAGGAATCAGGAACAGTCACCATACACTGTACCTCACTTAACAGCAAAACCAAGCTGGAAAATACACAAGTTGTTCAGCACTCAAGCTTTTTATTCAGCACCAACAGTGTAACTTCTCCAGAAATTCAAAAGAATATAAAATCCCTGGAGTTACATATTGATTATCTTCAGTAATCTCAGCAAACCTAGGAGAAAATCACAGCTGGGAGATGGGAGTGAGACTCTACCCTGACAATAAACTTCTCAGCAGTTAAAATTCTGACACCTCCACAAAAGGGAAGTGTGTGCCCTAGAGCCATTTGCTGTCCCTCCTGGCAGCACAACTCTGAAACACTTCAGGGTGCTTAGCAATTGGACAACTGCACTTTGATGATTTGCTTTGTGCCACTGTAGATGTGGCCACGAAATCAGTTCTACTGCACTAACTTTTTCCGGAGAATACTCCCATCTGTCTGTTGCTAAGAGACAAAAGTGGAATTCAAACATGTCTCAGTCTGGATGGGATGGAGTGAGCACAAACCAGACACAGAGCAGGTGTAGTCATGTTTCTGCAAACATGCTCAATCCTTGTTTCAACACTGTACTCCTGATCCTGATCTGGGTTTGTGCTTAAGGGGAAACTAACCCAAGTTTGTGTCCAGTCCTGCAGGATGAATTGGCCAGTTGGACTATTGCATTCTTTACTTTCCCAGCTAACTTTTAGTTCCATTACTTGAGGAATGCTTCATTCCCAAATTCAAAACATGCTTTTAAAAATCTAATGCAAACAGCTAACGTGATTAAAAAGGTATTTACCCAAGATGAGTCCAACCATAGAACTCAGATAACCAGTGCCACTGCCAAGATTCAAAAACGACAGCCCTGGTTGTAGATCCAAAGCTTCCATCACCTCGGAGTAAATACACGGTGCTGAGAGATGAATATTTCCATGCTTCCATGCCAAATCCTTGTAGGCATTGTCTTTGAACTCTTCCAGGTAGTAATCTGCTCGATCGATGGCTCGGAATGCCTGTTCCACCAGTTCTGTCCTGATGTATTGTGCCTCCTTCAGGTTATCAATTAATTCATCATTATCTTCTCCTGCACTCACTGCACCTCCCATCTTAAACAGTCTTCTACAAACACTAAAAGTGAAGGAATAGCAAAGGCAGGTGAGGAACAGAACATGCACTTCAACATTAAATGATGCTGCTGTGTATGAAGTCCTTTGAGAGAGACCTTTAGGTACCCTAAGGACCAGGAAAACACCCCCAAACAGCACTCCCATCCCCCATTCCAACAATGAAAAGCAAAATGCAGCAGATCTGGCATCTAGTACCTGACATTAGTGGGGAACAATCACAATAGGCAATTTCAATGTGCACTGCCTGTCTTCAAACACTCCCAACGTTTTACCAGCATGTCAGCTTTTCCACTGAACCCTTTTATAGAAAGGATTATTCCAGCTCCTGTGCTCATAGGTCATTTTTCACTGCAGGTTTGGCCTGTCTGTCAGAATTCTTGCCACACACAGGCTTTCTACCTCTAATATCAGCAATGGGATATTAAGGGACTAAGACACAGGCAGCAAATCCAGAAAACTCTCAAATTACATTTTCTTTGAACAAGCATCAGGATGCTGATTTCAGAGGTTCAAATAAAAAGCCACTGCCCTGGAGTACAACCTTGCTTACTTTAGCAAATACACTTTCAGACTGCTCATCTCTAGAGCCTGAGCCACCACCATTAGTAAAGCACTTAATGATACAGACAACTGCAGAGAGAATTTCCACTGCAGCCTGTGGAATTTCTCAGGTCCTAGACAAACTCACCCCCACTTTGGTAATTCCTGAGTGACAGAGATTTCTGAATTACAAACACTTCTGACTTCACTGACGTGATCATGGACCTATCCAGGTGTGTTGGTGTGGGGGAAAGAAAAGCAAACACTTTCCTTGACAGTGCATTACACTATGGTTCTAATAATTCTTGTAGTAAAATAACTGCAGGTATTAAAGATCTAGGGGAAGAAGAACACAGAACAACTTACCACTCAAATGAATCTAACTTTTTCACCCTTCTCATATCTTAAGGGGAAAAAAAATCCCTTCTAGAAAGCACAACCTCATTTTTAATGCATTTCTTTACAATGCCATTCCCTGCTCATAATAACCACAGAAGCAGCAGCTTTGGAGTTCATTCCTGGATCAGAAGATCTGCCTACAGCCAAATTGTTGGGGTTTATTTGTTGCATTCAGCAAGAGCAAATTATACACTTACATTTTCAGAGGAAACAAAGAAAAGCTCCAAGACTCCAAGAAAATTTCACAGTCATGCAAATAACATACCATTCCCATTACCTGTGGAGGCACACAACACAGGGTATACTTAGGGAACTCAAGCCAGTTTTTAATCCATTCATGTCTCAAACACATCAATTCAGTTCCAGATCATTAACAAAACTTGAAAAAAAATGCCACCCCTCTCCTTTCTACAGTTACTCCTTCATTTTCTCTACAAAAAATGACTGTGTTTTATTACTTCACAGTGGAAACACATCAAGTTGAAGGTTCAGGTGTGTTAATCTACCAATTTCTCTCTTTTTTCCCCCTCTCCTTACATACATAAAAAATCATTGTATTTGCACACACAGGGTTGCCTGTATCTCTGGTCAGGACACTTTTTATAACATTCCACATTAAAACACTCCCTCCTGAGGGTCTTGATTCCCTTGACTTTCCTTTATATATTTTTGTTCTCAGGCTTCTTCCTTCTTCCACTCTTTTTGCTATTGAAAAATCTACATTTTTAGATTTAGAGTACGAATAAAAAGTTGTGCCTTTAAGGGTGTTCCACTTTGGATCCCCAGTAAATTCCTTCTGATGTACACAAGCCATACTGGGACAACTGGTCTGACCTGGTTTGAGCTCAGCTACATAAACAAGTGTTCAACATGTTGTTGTAGGACATGGAAGACAACAACTGTTGTCTGAGACATTTTTCTAATGAGATTAAGGAATAGCCAAAGTTGTGACAGGTGTCAGTCACTCCTGAAATGATCACTTTTACTGGACATTAGCTTACTGCCAATTAAATACATGTTCTATATGCAGAACTTGGAAGTCTGACTCACACTTTCAGCAGAAGGGAAACAAAGTTAGAACTGAGAACTGTTACATATAAGTCTACATCTTTAACCTTGTTTCCCTTCTAGTGGAAATGGAAATCAAGACTATTATTACAACTTACTTTTAACAAACTTTTTACAACAAAATCCTCTCCCTCCACAATAAGCTCAGCTGCATTTTTCATGCTTCTAAGGTAAAGCAGAGATTAGCACAAATCTGAGCAGGAGCAAAGTTTAGGTGGCAAAAACTCAGCTCGTCAGCTGCTCACAACAGACACCAAACCAAGCAGCTTTTAGTGCTCAGGCATCCCTTCACGTTGCCATCGTCCCCTTTAAGAAAAACAAAACACAGACCAATCAGTCTGACATGAGGAGCTGCATTGAGACGCCTGAAACAAAACACTGGAATCAGAGCGATTCCTTCCAAGGCAAACAAACAGCAACAGATGCACCGGGGAAGGCTCAAAACAATACACAAAGCACAAAACTGCAATTCTTCACCCCCAGCAGATTTCCAGGGTAATCCCTGCCCTGACATAACACTCTCCAGAAGGAACAGCAAAGGTGAGGCTGTTCACTGATTTAAAACAAATAGTAATTACAGTTGGCACAGCTTTCCATCGATCCCTTCTGAGCCTCTCACACAGCACATTAAAACCTCCTGCGCTGCCAGGCTGCTGTGGAGGG